GTCTTCAGTGCATTGTTATCTTCCTCGACATGCAAAAGGCTTTTGACAGAGTCCCACACAAAAAGCTGTTATGTAAATTAAGTAAGTACGGTGTTACAAATCCGCTTTACTCTTGGATCCAATCTTACCTAGTAGGACGCTCGCAAGTTGTGGATATCAATAGTTATATCTCTTCACCTCGTCCGGTTACCAGTAGAGTGGTACAGGGCAGTGTCTTAGGCCCGTTACTCTTCCTACTGTATATAAATGATCTGGTTTCTGTTATACAATTTGGGAAGCCTTATTTGTTTGCTGATGATTTAAAGGTGGTTTACACGTTCCCAGGCTCTCAGCGTACCGCTGAAGTTAACAATATCCAAAGCGACTTGAAAGCCATTGAGAGATGGGCTGATATGTGGCAGATGACATCTGCAACATCAAAGTGTAGTATTCTATCGTATGGATGTCAGATAGCAGCAGAAGTGTTCAGGCTTCATGATGAAGTCATTCCCATCAGCCAGTCTGTTTGTGACTTAGGTTTAAGATATTCTAGTTCGTTAAACTTTAGCGAACATACAAATCATATCGTGAAAAAGGCTAAGCAGTCGGTCGGGCTCATATGCCACCTGCTAACCTTGAAAGAAACCAGACTAATTGCTTTCAAAATCAGGATCTGACCTTTGCTTGAATATTGTTGTGCTGTGTTCAGTAACTTGCGAAAGGCTGACTTGAGAGCCAATGAAAACGTCCAACACGCCTTTACGAAGCGCATATTTGGCTGTTCAACCGCTCTTTCATACAGAGATAGGTGCAAGCAATTGAATCTTGAACCTCTGTGGTTACGAAGAATGCAACTAAATCTGTGCTTCCTCCACAAACTCGCGTGGTGGAAAGCATATATTGGAACCTATCAATTGCACTTTCGGGAAAACACCATTTATGAACTGCGAGATAATGAATGCATATTCAAGAGCAGTCTAAGGAGAAATTTCTATCTTCTTAGGTATGGCTCCATATGGAATAAGCTGCCAAAAGAGATTAGATGTATTGAACATTTCTGCATGTTCAAGAAAATGATAAAGGCTTATCTGTCAACGGACAGAGCGAAATGGATCTTAAACATTCAGCTTGATGATGAAAAGCTGTATGAAGAAGGGCCGGATCATGTATGATACCGGAGAACATCAACTCTACTGCACCAGAGAAAACTTGATCAGCTAGGATGAGCTGCTACAAACCGCTTCTTATGCTATTCCTTAACGCTACCTTCCATGCGGTTTTACTCCCTTTGAACTTAATTCATATCAACTGTCTTCTGTTTAAAACCGAGAGCAAAATTATTTACTGGTGTGACGTCAGGAACTATTTTCGTAATTTTCCCCACAAATTGATTAATTCGTAATATTGTTCGGCGATCCCTTTCGATATATTTGTTCTCCAGTGCAAATCATTTCCCCTTCTTTTCTGAAGTTAACAGTCCAGAAACATATACTTGAATTCAGTGATGGCAATAACTGATTCCCTATGCGAATTTTGCCTATGGACAACTCGTACAGTCATCTGTCTCCGGCTATCACGCTACACAATTTATCGTATGATCGGCTCGATCGATTTCTACGCCGATGTACAAAACATACCTGCCTATTTTTTACACTAATGATATAGTTTTCATATAATCCCTCTTTTCTATATTCTTCCTTATTTCATAGTTGGCCACGACTAGACTGATCTCCTGTGGTGACGGATTACAGCTTCCAGATTATAAAAGACGTTACCTATGCAAGGTAAATTACCACCAACTGACTGGCGTATAAAAAAGTGCCATAATAGAATGATCCGCATGACGGACTGGGCTGAGCCTGAATGGCCCATAATGCATGTACAAAAGCAGCTCTAAAATGAACAGAACATATGCTATACATGTGATGGCTCATATGCTACTATGCCACACTGGCACACGGCCAGTTATTGCATGGAAGTGTGAGCGAAACCTTTCGAGGGAATACCTTACATGGAAGCAGGTCCCCTGGGGATGGTTCCACGAGTGGCCGTATTACTTTAACTGGACACCTGTTTAAATCTGGTTACGTTATTGTTCCTGGTTTTTAATTTCTTTAATGCCTTAATCCTGCCAATTAGTTTAGTACCTGTTTTGGATCCATTGTAAAAAGCGTGAACAAATTGATTATTTTTTTGCGATCCTGTTGTACACATTGATCAGACCACATAGTTGGACTGCACCTCGAATCACCGAGGAATATACCAGTTATTTATTTATTTATTGGGAACTGGTAACTAGAGCGAAGTGTGACCAGCGGAGAAGTAATATAGTACAACGCGTCCCCAATGCTCATGTCGGGCCTGGCAGTGTGGTCTCAACAAGATGGTGTTTGGCCGCGGAAGAGATGCAGGTGAGCAAAACAGGAAGGATACATAGCTCAGAAATGATAAACAGCATCGTTTGTTGGGTAAACAGGTGCCACTTGTCAGGAAGGGAGCTCGAAACTTGTCTAACACAAATGAACTAAGCACTTTAAGGTGTCCCGCATTCAGTGATTGCTTGAATATAGTCAAGATTTTGATACTGCAAATGACTGTTTGTGTTTGGATGGGTGCTTATGTGCATCTACGGAACGGTGGAACGGTGTCGATATCGATCAGAATAGGTGATGGGATGAGTTTGAATGTTTACATCTGTGAGGTAGTCTGCAAACACGATGATTGACATGTGAACCAAATATGTTTATGACCAAATTCTGTTTTAGCGACACAAGCCACAGTTGTAACGAACGACACAGAACTTCACTTAATAACGTAATTCATTCTTGACTTCCATAAAACTACCCCATCTTAGCATGTAACGTTTCGTGCAAGCCGTATCCAGGTGAGTTCTACAGCCTCATCCTGGGAGACATGAGAATTAAATTGAATACCAACGAAAGTCAGAACTTCAGCTTACCGTTGTTAGGAAAAAACCACCATTCCTTAAAACTATTTCGTTTACTAACTTAATATTGGATTTCTATTATCGCTTGTAATCTGGAGCTTTCCTTACTCTTACAAACTTTAGGTTTGGCTGGTTGCGTCCATTTTGTATTTAACGTCACAGTCAGTACCACGCGACAGAGAGAGAGAGAAAGAAATAGAGGTGCCAGACAGCGGCCGAAAGGATCACAAGCCTGTCTTGTAATCTTGATGTCGCGGGTTTGAGTCTGTGTAGGAACCAGGCGACCGTCACAGCATCCTCGACCCACGTGCCACTGGTGGTGATTACGTGGCAGCGAAACGTCGGCACTGTGTACCGGTGTACTGTTGATACCCAGCGGTACTTCACATTAGGTTAAACGTAGTCAATTTCAGACCCTTCTTTAGTGTCTGATAGTAAATTCTGGGGAATCCAGTGTGGCCGATTGAAATCAGACAAGAATGCTTTCGTAAGTCAACGGATGGGTTTGGTGCATTCATCTGCTGTTCGCCGAGGCAAGTCAAACTGCGCGCAGCTGAGGTTGGAAGATAATCTCACAGCTGAAATAAATAAGAATATCCGTAGCTCGGGGTGTGGATGCGGATTTTGAGCTGTTCTCCGAGCTGAGGGATTATCATGCAGAGGTTTCGTTGCCTGACTAGGCAACATCATCAGTGCGGCTTCAGGGGCCTGGTTCGCAGGGCCTCGTAAGCGACTTCAATGTCCAAGTGCTTATTAATCGAGTTCTGTTTTGAATGCCGAGCTTCAATGAACTCACGTGCTTGCCGGCTTTTAACCCTTCCGAGGATACTGGCATTCTCTAGGTCGAATTGATGGTTCTCAGCGTAGAATGGGGCCTTTTGGGTATGAGTTCCGCTTGAGCAGATTGAAGAGATGGTCTTCCTCTGCCCATCTCAGCTGCGATGTGCTACAATGGGTTTGTGCTCGTTTGAAAATTGGAGGAAACACACGAACTAATCAACAGTGGGTTCGATGGCATCCAGTTCACCAGGGAGGAGGAGAACAACGTGCAGTTGCCATTCTTAGACGTTTTCATACGACGGACTGGTGCTGAACGATTGGAAACAACAGTCTACCGAAAATCTACGCATATGGATCAGATCCTCAACTACGGCAGCAATCATCCGGCAGCCCACAAACGCAGCTGTGTGCAAACCCTTTTCGAACTACCACAAACCCATTGTAGCACACCGCAGCTGAGACGGGCAGAGAAAGACCATCTCTTCAATCTGCTCAAGCGGAACTCGTACCCAAAAGGCTCCATTCTACACTACCTCGCACCACAAAAAGCTGCTCAACACACCTCGACAAATGCAACATTTGAAAAGAGAACAACTCTACCATATATCAACGGAATCGCTGAAATGACAGCGAGGCTTTCGTTGCCTTTTGGAGTCAAAGTTGCACACAAGCCAACGGAAACCATTCGCAGTAAACTCTTCAAAGCGAAAGATAAACTTAGCAAAGAGGAAAAAACTAGTGTGATTTATAAGATCTGCTGCCGGAACTGCGACAAATACTACGTGGGACAGACTGGAAGAAAGCTTGGCACAACGCTACATAAACAGTCTAGCCATTCATCGCCACGATCAGAACTCCCTGATGTCAGTGCATATGGATGTCGAGAACCATCAATTCGACCTAGACAATGCCAGTATCCTCGGAAGGGTTAAAAGCCGGCAAACACGTGAGTTCATTGAAGCCCGGCATTCAAAACAGAACTCGATCAATAAGCACTTGGACATTGAAGTCGTTTACGAGGCACTGCGAACCAGGCCCCTGAAGCCGCACTGATGATGTTGCCTAGTCAGGCAACGAAACCTCTGCATGATAATCCCTCAGCTCGGAGAACAGCGCAAAATCCACAATCTCACATCGTAGGAGCTGCTGCGATATAGAAGATTAAATGACGTAAAGCCCTGCTTTAGGAAAATCGGAAGTAAAACAAAACAGCGCAACCGACAATACACAGCAGCAAGCCAATGGTGAATGATCGACAAAAACAAGTACCGGAAAACGAAAAGTTGCAACCTACTGTTTGCACATTGGGGATGTCCAAACCGCGAGCAGCCAAATCTGTGGCGAGAAGGATATCCACAGATGGTACTTTGGTCAAATTAGGCGACCCGGAATCCGATGCATCATGTCCAGGTGGAATGAGATCATCACCGGTGGAGCGCACCCTTTCATCACCGGCTTCCGAGAAACGCCGTAGTGCATCCAATCGAAGCGCTTGAGACATATTCCCATGCAATTCGGCACATGAGAGACCCAGAAGGCTTAGTAGAATGTGCATTCGATGACATTCTTTCTTTGTTTGAAAAAATACGATTGATCGCCGCTGAAAGTTCCGTACGAGCAAGGCCACTAGGACCGCTTGTCGGTCCACTTCGCGATGGGGGCGTATTCGTACGAACTCCTGTCGCAGCCTCTTCGCCACAGCAGTAGCCTGGTTCAGAAATATCTGAACAGGATCCTTCAACGATAACGTTGCCAGCTCCTTTACCTACATGAAGTGGAACAAGACGACAAACAGGCGGTGCGTGATGGAACCAGGCACAGTGATATATATATATATATATATATATATATATATATATATATATATATATATATAATACACAATCTGTGGTACAGATATTGTGCCATCGGAATCCTGGCTGAATAGGAAAACAATATGAATAATAAGAAAAGAGCAACAACAAATGCTTTTTTGTCTATTTTACCACTCATAGCTAATGGAAAGGTCAAGTTACGATGATCGAAATAGTAATCCCGGGCAACGCAAAAACGAAAACTGGTTCGGCCTTCAATTCAAGTCAAAATAAACTTTATGAACCCTAGCGGGTTCGTTTTTATCATTTACACTACCACTGCGAGCATACTGGATGATAATATCGCTATGATATATGAAAATTGGGAGGAAATGGAAGATATGCACGAACGGCACTCCAACCGCTCGCGCAGTATGTTCATGACTTTCGCTGATAGATAAGGCAAGATAATATTACGATACAATGAAGTGCGGAAGAATGAAATTATGAATTTCGAACGCGTAGAAGAGAAATATTGCGCTCCGAAAAGTCACTGTGCAGTGGATGAAATCGGTCAGTTAGCACATTAGAAGAATAATTATTGCTAGCACCAAGATGTCTAGACATAATCAGATAAAATGAAATATCTACAGATAAGCCGCTTCATTTAGAAATGTGTTCTATCGGTTGTAAAGATAAGATGTCTTTCCGAAGCAGTCCACGAAAGATAACAGGGAAGCAGTACAACCAATAGGGGATAATGCATGATGTTCCAAGCTTGGATATTATCGTATGAGGTATTAAAAGTACCTTAAGCCTGGGGGCATATAAAGGAAATTTTCGGAGTGTATGAAACGTTTCAGACACGTGTGGACCAAGAGAATTTTTGGGACAAAAAGATACCGATGTAACTAACCGTGGATGAACTGGGTATGGGATTTTCGTTTATAGCTAGATTGGGGAGGATATGTATGAAAGGCTGCAGCTTATCGCCACGGAGAAAAGAAAAATTACATCACTGTATTGAGGACTGTTAAAATTGGTGGATCTAGATGAAGGCCATTCCGCGAGATTCGTGAGGAGCAAGCCTGGTTTCGCCGAAGTCGCGGCTGTATTGATCACATTACATCAATTTTTGGAGCGCCACCATATCTATGGGCGACCCATCGTATTCGTGTTTCCCGACATCAAAGGTTCCTTCAATCTGGTTGATCGAAATGCCCTTTGGGATTGTTCACTCAAAAAAGGTGTTCCCGAAAAATACGTAAACATCAGAGCGCTTTACGCGCATAGTTTGGGCAGAGTGAGGGCTTACGGCAAGTTGTTGCCGCCCTTCAATATCTCCAGTGGTGTAAGATAGAGATGCCCGCTGTCACCTTTCCTCTTTAACTTCGCCCCTAAGTTATTGAAACGGTGTTCACTATACACGTCCTACAAAGAGTGGAACTGCTCCCAATTTATCGACCTCTTGACTTAGAGTACACCGACAACACTGGTCTACTCTGTAACAGTTCCCAGATGTGGTAAGCAGTAGTAGACAAACTGGCATTGGCTGTCAGTTGTCTTGCGCTATGCTTTACGGCTGTCTTGCCGAACAACCTCCTCGCGGTGCTAGCTGGGTGGTTCGGGATTACTCCGTTCAAACAAATCGTTCGGCGGCAGTGTTCCAGGACATGGTGGGTTTTGGCCTGGCAATCGATCTCCCTATAAAAAGCCACAAATGTCCGTTTAACAAAACTGTGACGTAGGGGATATGACTCGCCACTAAATAAAAACAATGTCCATTGCTTCATGTATGTATGTAATCTCAGCAGTCTAGCAACTAGACACAGAGCCCATAGGAAACCATGGAGACCAGCGGATAAGAAACAGTCATTACTTCATAATCATCGTGGCATATTAGTTGAAGGTGAGCAACACACTTCAACTAATATGCCGCAGAAATAGAACATTTTGACAAAAAGTAGAACAAAAGGTTCTTAGTTCGCTTTTCACGCGCCGAATTTTCTCCTTTTTGTCATTTTCAATGTCTGAAGTATTAAACATGCGAATCAATACAACACTGTACACAATTCTTCCACTGCTTCCGGTTGCGGGCCACGTCTTCAAGAGTGTTAAGCCATTGGCACTCTTCATCTTTGGGTCCCCATCCTGGAAGATGTACGGATCCAACAGCGGCTAGACACGACGTCAGCGACTTCATGTGTTGTCGCCAAGTGGAAGCCTGACCAGCACGCCGTCGCCTCCAGCCAGGTCCTTGACGAGCGAATAGAGCGCGACGCGGTAGACGCTCAGGTGCCATCTCAACTGGCGCAACAAAACCAGTTGGTTGAAGGGAATACTTGCATTCCCCAAGATGCGACGTCGAACTGTTAACTCGATGTTGCCACCAAACAGGAGCAATCCTCCTTAAGCAATAGTTTTCGAAGGCAGAAAGATGACGCATGTCTTACACACGAATCGGCAAGGACTGGCTCCCATACAACAACACTGAGCGAACTGATGCGCTGTAAACACGGCCCTTTAGCGAGAATGAGACGTCGCGACGGCGCCACAAGTGCCTCAAATTGACAAATACTGATCGAGCTTTAGCGATACGAAGAGAAACTTCTTTGTTGATAGTGCCGTCAGCAGAAACACAGCTCCCAAGGTAGACGAAACTATGTACCTGTTCAAGTTGTGCACCTTCGAGAGTGAGCACAGGTGCAGGTGGAAGCCAATCCTTGAGCAGTACTTTACACTTCGATGGGTCGAAGCTCATGCCATAGTTAGATGCTCGAACCGCCAAACGATCCAGAATGAGTTGCATACTCTGAGGACCGTCACCAAGTAAGGCGATATCATCAGCATAATCTAAGTCGGTCGCGCGCTCAGCCGGTAGAAGCACTAGGCCAAAATGTTGGAAACCTTCCAGACCATTCGACAGAACGTCTTCGATTGCGGAGTTGAGCAGGAATGGGGACATAGGGCAGCCCTGTCGCACACCGACATTGACAACGAATTGCGAGGAAAGCTTACCATAGACCCTCACTCTGCCGGATGTATGAAGGTAAAGTGCTCGTAAGATGGCGGTATATTTCCCTGGCACACTGCTCTTTAGCAAGCAACGCCATAAAGCAAGTCGATCAACGGAGTCAACAGCGTCACGTATGTCTAGGAATGCAACGATAGTGGGCCTGTGATAAATGTGGCGATGTTCGAGGAGATGGCGGAGCGCGAAGATTTGATCCACGCATCCGCGGCCGAGACGGAAACCAGCTTGTTCTTTACGGTAGTATGATTCACGTACTGGGGATAGTCTACGGAGCAGAAATGGATGCCAATAGCTTGGAGGCAAACGAAATAAGACTAATCCCGTGATGATTGACACATGAAGTGCGAGCGAGTTACTTGAAAATCGGGACAATAACTGATTCGCCCCAAGAGGAAGGCACTTTCTCTTCATGCCAGATTTTCGCGAACAGCGCGGTCAGCTGGTTAATGATCGCCACACCGCCGTACTTGAACAACTCCGGAGGAAGTCCCTCTGAACCAGCAACCTTGAACCGCTTCAAGCGTCGAATCTGGAGGCAGACTTTCGCTTCGCTGGGTGGATTCAGTGGGACGAGCCAGGGTGGACAACAAGGTGTACAGCGTGTACTGATGGACAGTGGAGGCCAGTTGAACTGCGAGTGAGTGCTCAGCCTAGTGGTCTATACGTCTCTGTTGGTTGGTGATCGGAGACTCATCCACCTCGCAAATGACCTCACTGACACCAGGGTTCCTGAGGCCAGTGGACCAAATGAGTTTTAAAAGTTTGAGAGTGTTGCCAGAGATGGCAGCGGTCTCCATCTCTAAAGCACGCTCAGACCACTATGTCTCGCGATCCTTGCGTAGGCTTTGCTTGAACAGCCGGTTGGCAGAACGGCGCCGCTCGTTGCAATCCGCCGGCATATCTTTGCGGCGTTCGAACATCTCCAGAGAACGAGCAGAGATCTAAGCCATTAGGGGGCGTCGAGTTAGGCCGCAGCCCGACTGTCACCGCTTTCCGCATACAAGTCCAGTGTTGCGCCACGTCTTGCGGTGGATTGAAACTGGGTGCGTATGCCAGTGAAGACTGATAGCTCGCCTGGAGAGAGGATTCAGTCAATCTGTTTACATCCATCTTGGGTGCTTCGTGACCTCCCAAAACACATACAGATTTTCGCGCAGACCAGTGCATGATCTGAGTCAACGAAGGTGGATCAAAAGAACCTGCAGTCCAGTACGCTGCCACGCCATCTGTAGCTACTTGCAATGTGATCAGTTTGAGACCACGCTTGTGTTGGTGAAAGGGGACGCCACATTGCGGAACGCTTCTTCGTACGCCTGACGTTAGTGCTCGAAAGAAACCGATGGTTGTCTTCGCACAATGTGAGAAGCCTCTTTCCGTTATCAGAGCGGTTCTCATCGAGCGCGTGATGACCACCAAGGTGGCGCTCGTATAGTAACAGGCGGCCAACCCGTGCTTTAAAATCCCCAGCAAGGACAACGACATCCGACATTTTAGCATTAGTCAAGAGCTGATGTAGCTCCCGGTAGAATTCGTCCTTAACCGAGTCACCACTGCAGTCAGTTGGAAGGTACGCAGAGACCACAAAGAAGTTGCGTCTCTCTTTGCGGTGCTTGTGGATTCTACATGAACCCCGAAGCCGAACTGCACATAGTCGGCTGCTAATCGGGAATCAGTCCAGTAGTGCCGCCTCAGCCTTGCCGCTTAGTGCTATACCTACACCAGCCAAAC